CGACAACTTAGTCCACCCGGCTACCGAAGCCTTCATCTCGATCCATATTGTTTTTTTAAGAATATATAAAAAATTTAAAAGATCCATCATTTGCAATTACAACCTTTTGAATCAATAAGTTATCTTAAATAATTATACTACATTATCCTGTTTTCTACATATCACCAATATAAACAAACATTAATGTACTTCTTTCATCTAATAGTATGTATATATTTTACCTGTGCGCTTTATTTCAAACTTTCATTTTTGTTACATAGTTATGCATTATATATGCAAAATGACTTAATGCACTTACAGAAACAGATTCTAGACATAGTATGGGGGTCGTGGTAAAGGCATATTGCTAATGCTGATACAAATCCTTATAGCTGATTTTGTTCAGATAAGATAGGGTTTTGGTTAAAACCGTTAAAAATATAAGAAAACATTGTTTTATTTGATAGTCTAAAAACTAGAGTTTAATAATTATCTATCATTTTGAAATCGAATGTCACGACTTCCTTTATGTCAACACATATTTATATCATAGGAAAAGAAATAAAGAAGAAGTGTATGTTTTACATAAATAAGTATTGCCAAAGGGTCGTAAACCAAGTAAATATATTAGCTACGGAAACATGGAATATGAAGATATTACTAAGCAGGCATGGGGTAATGCAAATTTGTAATTGTAATGTATGGTAATGCATTACATTTTTCTAAGTAATTGCATGTAATGTGTAATGCAGCAATTTATGCATTACATGTAATTGTAATTTAATGCATTACTTTAGCAAAAAGTTGTGTAATTTCATGCATTACATTGCATTTCTTTTTCACATATTGTTGGAGATTTACCTAAAGCAGAATTTAAGATTTCTTGATTAACTTAGAACATAGAAAATGAATAATACAACACTGTATTTCAGATTAGGTTCATGTTTTCTTATTTTATTTTATTTCATACATTTTCCTGCATAAAAAGATTGATATTTGAAAAGCAAAAGCCATTACTGTTGTCAAAAGATCAAAGAATACCTAATCATGATAAATAAAAGATAGTTGAACATTGTTAAAAAACACTAATTAGTTTGTTTAATTAAGCTGAGCCTCTATGTTTATTATATAATTAGGAAAGAAATTCTCAGTAAATATTTTGATTGAAATTAAAAAAAGACAAAAGTATTTTATAAAATTATTAAAAATTATATTAAAATAATTAAAAATGTAATAGCCGTATTGAATAGACTTGTTACATGTATACTTAAATTCAATACAAGGAACAGTTACTGCATATGCTAGAATCTTTTGTGACTTCATGTTGTTTTTCAAAATGTTCGATTTGTCTATTCACTTAATAATAAATTTACAAATGTAATGTGTAATTCAATGCATTACTTTGCAAAAGTAATTGTAATTTAATGCATTACTTTGATAAATGAATGTAATTGTAATTGTAATATAATGCATGGTTTTGTCAAAGTAATTGTAATATAATGCATTACATTGCAATGTAATTCGCCCCATGCCTGTTACTAAGTGAACTGAAAAATCAGAGACGAGTAATCGAATAATGATTCGAAAAAAAATGGCTTCTTCTCTATAGGAATGTACTAGCGGAACAATTGGAAAATGGAAATATTTAGATGGGAACAAATTATAGCCAATTGTAGTATTTGAAAAGATATTTGGGGAAAAATCATGTATTATAATCCCTATACTATTAGTTACATAGTGTGCTAGTGACCTAATATGATATATATGGGGTCAGTAAATTCCAGCGAAGCTCGAATCCCCATATGGAATTTACTGACCCCATATATATTGTTTTAGGTCACTAGCACACTATGTAACGAATTTATCTTACCGACTATCTTAACATGTGGTATTTAGACTAGTGGCCTATTAAAGTGATCAAGTCTTAAATACCGTTAGTATCAAGAACCTACTTCCATTGGTTTATACAAAAACAAATGCCAACAATAACACACTCGTTTGCTTTAAATGTGTTTTATGAATTTATTTCAATCGTTCATCATCAATTTCTACGTCTGTTGAAACCTTTCAGATTTTTCCTCAACACCGTGTTGTTTTTATAAAGGGACGTTACACCACTACTAACCGTGTAATGAAATAAGCCCCTCCTACTAACCTAATATGGAATATACACCGTCTCCACGCGGTTGCTTTTAACCAATCATATTCCTAGAAATGTATAGGAGGTAAGATAAATGTAAATGTACATGTAGAAAAAACAATGCTTGGGTTTTTTAAATAGTAGTTAATCAGAATGTACTATGTTAAAATGAGTTGCGCTCGAAATCTCATACTCACCACTCATTTCTTTAGTCATGTTTACTTATCAGCACTTTTTTGTGTACTGGTCAAATTATAAAGTGCATCACTTGTTGTGCCTAAACCAAGTCAGGCTAGTTGGACCATATATTGCACAAAGTTGATTTAACTGAATGTGTAAGTAGTTCACGCCTGAAGCCCATATGCTGTTGACAGACTTGTTTGTAGAAGAAAAGATATATTTTTCATTGTTTGAATCTATGTATGACATAGATTAGATGCACATTCTAAACCAAGTAATTTAAACCATCTATTAAATAACAAATTGAGTAAATTTAAATGTACGCAATATTATAATATCATGATACTGATCGCGTTCGATTTTGTATTTTACGTTTTTACGATTCAGTCGTTATTCAGGACGTAAAATCGAAGGCAGAGCAATGTATTTTTTTAATATTTTACTTGATGTTTTTGCAATACAATTCTCTTTTATTTATAACCGTTACTACAATCACTGAATATTTTTCGAAAGCAATGCGCATTTTAAAATGATGTTTTATCAATAGGTGCTGCTAACATTAGTTTATGCGAGGAGAGTTGTAATACTTCAGGCGTGCCACGTAAAAAAATGAATATATATGTAATTATAGCCAGCTTTGAGGCATGATCATGTGTGGTTGTCATCAATAAAATTGAACATGGATACAAACGTAGCTTACGCTATCGGATATGGTGCTATTTTCCAATCACACTAATTATATTGGGGTTAATCCGATTATCTGGGTGAGTTCACACTTACAATTAATAAAAGAAGCTCTTCTTTTGGTTGTTCTATATAGGGCAGTCGTTTACAACTCGATAGTGCAATAAAGAATTTGTAAATGTCATAAAAAAACATTTAATGAAAGAATCTCTTCCTTATTTGCTTGCATTTAAAGGAAAGGTCACTGTTTTAGAATTCTGGTCTGTTTTTCAACTCTTATAATCAGTCAGTGGAATGGATGGTCAAAACAACACATTCAAAGAATCAATTGAGATTTATTTATTGAAGAGATTTGTTTTGCATGCATGAAATTCAAAATATCTTTACGGACCAAACACATTCCTTGAACTAATATTTTACCTGATTTGTTTTCAAGTTTTCAAATTGAAAGGGTTTCACAGAAGGCCATTTTTATGGTGATTGATTCTACAGTAGTGGACACCGAATAACGAGAAGTTGGGTAAATACTTCAAGACTGTCGTTGGCCGCTGTTGGTTCTCATTCTACGATAAAATGTATGGTGATGTTGCAATACTATTTCAATCTTTTTTTGAAAACTATTACCAGGTCATAGTATAGTATATTACTCACTGGAAATGCTCAAGTTTTTATTGCATCTGCTTTTAACGATTGAAATTTACCAATATAAGTTCTTATTAGGTTGCATTATCTTACAATTTCGTTATCAATCTTCATTTAGATTTGTGCTTAATTCTTTTAACTAAAAACTAATATGTTGTATGTAGTAAAGCATTTATCTTTAAGTTCTGATGTAATGCGCCCTTTTACTCTTTCCGTTCTTCATAATATTACCAGGACATAACCATAAACATGTATCTATATCTTTTAATCAACATGCAATTGTTTTGATAAATATTTTAATTACATTGCATGCTTTCTTTCGTATTAGAGACTTACTGTTTGAGACAAATATCATGATCATAATTTGATTTACTGGGGAAAATGACAGTTAATAAGAAATGGTAAAGGACACTCATTTTTAATCTACAAAATATCAAAAATTAAGCAATAATTTGCATAAACAGCATGCCAAGTTAGCCAGTCTAAGCAAAGCCGAATGTTACTTTTGTCCTGTCTACAAAATGGAGGGGAAAAGCAGCAGATTCAAAATCTTATAAATTTCACAGTTTTCGTATGGCCGTTGATACAACAGCTCACATTTTTAGTTTTCCCGATTCAAACATTCCATAAAGTAAACATCATTATCACTATTTTTATGTTATTATATTCACCAAACAACAAAGCAGTATTAAATAATTTATCTTGACATACGTTTCAATCGACTCCAGTTTGAATGACTATTGAGAATCGTAATTTCTTTCTTCTCAAAAGTTTTATTGTTTTTTTTTCATTGTATAACCTGAAAGGAAAACTACCATTTTGTCTTAACTTTCATTTTCCTTAATGCTACCAATCATCTTTTATTTTTACGAAAATTGTTTTCCTTAAAGCTCTGTAAAAAAATCGGTTCATATTTGTGTAACTGTATATAAATACCATGTTAATGCTAAGAAATGGTTAGTTGACATTTGGAATCAAAATCTTCATGATTTTCATACGTTTTAGTTTGAAGTCATCCATCTTGAGTCAAAATCGATGAAAACATCAAGCTATAATGCAGACCTCCTACATCCGGTAGTATCCTTTATCTCAAATTCAGGTAGATATATTATATGTAAGCATTCATTAAAATATTGGTTACTGACTGACAGATGTTCATCAGCTTTATTAGCTTGTTATTTGGCAGAACACAATGGTGTTTGGGATTCTCTTTTGATAAAATATTTATACACAATTTTTCGGCAATATGGTATCTAAATTTGTTTTGATTTTTCTTCAGAACAGACTTACGACACTCTTGTACACAATTTATTTCAATTTTGTATGGGCATTAAGTTCCATATCTGACCCAAAAATGTAGGCTAGAACAAAATAGTTAAACAGTAAAATAAATATACATTTATAAAAATAAATGAATGAAAGTAATAAAAAAATACAGGGTTAGTGAATACATGATTAACAATATCATGATATATTATCATTATAAAAACGAATATGACAGCTTCAAATATATTATGGTCCATATGTCAATGCTTTGTTTTAAGTTCATCTTTCTATTCAGCAAACAACAAAATATACGAAACGTGAATCTTAAGTATATTTTATCATATTATTTGTCAACAAATCTAAAATCTACAATTTTAAGTGTTTATATTGTTACTTAATAAATGCGTACATGTAACTTTGTTTACAAAACTTTATTGCAATATACAAAAAAGTGTTGTTTTTTTTAAAGATTTCCCTATATTTTCCTACCAGTTAATTCGATACTGTTCGGATATTTTTCTGTAGTAACATCAGCACTGCTCAGTCAATTTTCATATTTATCTGTTTTTCAAATAGGGTGAACCGGTCTTAATTTATCAAAAGTGAGTAACGGAATGGCACTGAATTTATTTCCAATTGGTGATTTGGAATATTGACTGAAAGACTGGAGATGAATTCTTTTTAATTAAATGTCTATGGAAGATATATGACAATGATGGTTTCAGCTGGAAATCATTTTAATATGAGACAGATGTTACTTGTGGTATTTTCGTAATAATCTTTGGTTATCTGAAATACAAATTTGCGGGAAATGGGATTATTTACAACATAGCAGCCTCTGCAAACAGTGCAAATATATTTCCACTTTTCATTGATTTTTCTATTGTTATTAAAGCTTCATCATCTACTCATTTTAGAATCAGCGGCATAGGCAAATGAACAAGGATCTAAATACTCGTTTCTTTTGCATGAATACATATGATTTATAGCTATTGATGTAAAAATGATACAGGACTTCTTAAATTAAAAGTGTTTTGAGTGCAAATGTTAACATGTGTTCAATCTAATGACGCGTTACTATCTAGGTGTTGTATTGATATATGCTGTATGTATCTGATCATATGTATTTTGGGTAGAAGGCCCTGACAGATCTTGATATGCAGATACATTTTCCATGCCAAGTTCATCATACTGTTGGTCAGGGCTGGAAAACAAATATATTTTTTTTAATAATGCATATATCAAATATGTTTTAAAACGGTGAGACTCATAATTCGGTCTTTGAAATCTTTTTTTTAACCTACATTCAAGAGATCTTCCAAGTTTCAATGACCAACTTTGTACTAGTAAAAAGGGAACAAGCAGACCAGTTTCCGATTAATAAGTTAAAATTGTTAAATACAAATCTTATTATAATTCGTTACTGTCTTTTAACATTGAAAATGTGTGACAACATCAAATATATATTATATTTCAAATTTTATTTCAAATGCGTAACAATCTTTATGTTCTAGACGTTTGTTAAGGAATGGATTATTCCGATTCATTGCTTTGATTTTTGTTTGGAAAAACAAACTGCTAAAAAATCGAAATTCATTACAACTACAAAATAAACGATATAACAATATAATTACCGACAGTAATGAATAAAACATTTCAGGCAATGAAATATATAAAGAATAACATTCAAAAATATAAGCTGTTTGTAGATAGAAATAAGAAGATGTGGTTTGAGTGCCAATGAGACAACTCTTTATTCAAGTCACAATGTGTAAAAAATAAACAAGTATAGGTCAAAGTACGGCCTTCAACACGGGGCCTCGGCTCACACCGAACAGCAAGCTCCAAAATGACTAGTGTAAAACAATATAAACAGGAAAACCAACGGTCTAATCTGTGCATATATGACGTCTTTTAAAATTTATATGTACTTAATGAATCAGTAATTCTTTTGATCTGTTTATGGTATTTATCTATCAACGTCCGCCACTATCAAAATCAAATCAGTAAGATGTCTATAACTGCATTAAAGTTGCATTTAGTCGTATAAGTCTGCTCTTGAGTACCGAAATCGGTTGGCGTACACATAAATGTCATTTTAACATAGTTTTCTCTACAAATATATAATTTACATTTAAAATACATAATACATACAGCATACATACCACTGGCTTTTCTCTGTTGCATTCCATTTGCCTTAATAAAATAATTAGAGTATGAATATTTCAATGCAGTATTGTACTGTGCAATACCATAATACAGTATATTTGATAGTATAGTTACCAAAAAAAATACACTATTTCGATTCAATTGGCGAAATCGTTAACATTAAGCTCTTTGAAGATTTTTTTTCCTGTACGGTTTTAATCTTAACTTCGCTAATGACATTCATAATACAATTCAAGCAGAATTTACTGCTTTGAAATCCATAAAAACAATCATTTGTATCGATGCTTTTTCCCTAATATTTTCATTATAAAAAATTATAAAATACTATAACAGGTGTAACAGATTAAGTTTTGCTTTTCTTAAATTAGTTATCAAGCTTCAAAAGAAATATATGTGATACAATCATCATAGTAATTAACTTATTTTTACATGTCATGGCTTAGAAGTGAGGACGGTTTATTGTCGTTTATCATTGTTCATGAATTTACATTAACATGAATTTGACATGCTAACGTATAATTTAAACATTACCGAAGAATATATTTATTCTAATATCTGTCTTGTTTTTTTTTGTATTTGTTATGTTCTCACCTGTCATTATCGACACTATTTCCTTTCTCTTAAAGATAATCACTGCCAAAATAAAGCCAAACAGAACACCTCCGGTAAAGCTTCCAATTAGCTCAGGAACTGAATAACCTTTAACATAAGAATCTTTTTCGGTTGCTGTAATTTCTAAAATAAAAAATATATGGATATCATAGTAAAGTGTAACCATTATATTACAGAAATATAGAAATAAGATACCATGAAGATGATTACACGTTGTTGGACACTTTAAAAAATATTTATCATCGTCAGAAAATATGCAATATGTTATTTCCAAAATTCTATGAAGGTACACATAAATTTAGTCCTTCGCCTTGAGCGTGTGTATTAAAACATTTGCTAATTATTTGTCCTATTTTATACCTGCATTGAAACTTAAGTTTTGAACTGTATAAACAATTCCAGTGCAGGATCTCAATGTATGTTTAAGTCCATATATCGTGATTGCACATGTCCAAGAAAACAATTCATATATACAACGTATGGATACGTTATGTTTGGTGATCTTTATATTGTCAACAACAATTCTATACGAAATGTGCTAGAAACATAGTTGTAAAATACTAATGAATTTATAGAGTATTATGCCAGACAATGGGCAAAACATGAAAACTAAACGAATACATTGACAAAATATTTGCAGCTGTAAAGTCGTTGATAGCAATCAAAATTCAATACTACAATGGCTAACGTATATGTGGTTAAAACAAATGATCCAACAAAGATTTCTTTGGAACTAAAATCGTCAAGATGCTTGATTATTTTTTATTGCCAATATATCTTTTCATGCTTTAACGTTTTGTAGAAGTTCAGCAGACAGTCAAATGTGCATATTTTTGGTCGATGTTTTCGTATTCGCATTTTTTGACTGACAAAATTGCATATTCGCATGAGGCAGCCTTTATCTTCCAACTACCAATCAGGACTTCTAACTGAATAAGCAACAGTCTGTTGCTATGTTGATTGCATTATTCGATCTAGACTTGAAATAAAGAATTCAAGTGAATTTCAGTTAGCCTTGTTTTGTAGAAAACTTAACCACTTTTTGTTCTATTGTGTATAAAAACAATATTTAGTAGTACATGTACCACATTCTTTGCTTTAAAAAATGATTCAAAAAAACTCACAACCTCAGTGTTAACAGGCTAGTGATACAGTAGTTCGACAATTTAGACCATCCGGCTACTGAAGCCCTCATCTCGATCGATATTGTTTTATAAGAATTTATAAAAAAGCAAAAGATCCATTATTTGCAGTTACAACCTTTTGAATCAATTAGTTATACTAAATTATCATGTTCTCCAAATATCACCACTATAAGCAAACATTAATAGAGGAATAAACCGTTTACCTTGTTCACATTTATTGCCGGTCCAACCATCTAAACATCCTAATGAACAATTTCCCGTTACTAAATCACAATGGCCAACACAGTTTGTCGAACAGAGAAATTCACAGTTGTCTCCATATTTTCCGAAAGGGCATCCTGAAACGAAATTTAAATGAAAACATATTCGGCTTTGACATGATTTTTAAAAACTTATTTAAGTATTCAAAATTGAGGTTCCAACTCCCTCAGGAAGAGTAGACCTTATCTACATTTGGCTATAGTTTTATTAACTTTTAGTCATCATATAGCTTGCTACTTAATTAAACATCCCTGGCTTTCAAATGCGTAGGTCTGATAGTTTCTGATAAATGTAAATTCAAAAGAGCACTTCGAACGTTGAAAATATATAACATGTTATTTTGGTCTTCATTATTTTTATTTATAAGTTTGTTAGTATTTTTTCAATGTATTGGTATCGTTTGGAAAATAGTGTTATTCATTATACTATATGGAACATCTAGAGTGATGATGGTATTGTCCATTCTGTTTGATTTAGTTTTTCAATCTTAAATGTCTCATGCATTTGGCTTATAAAACCTTTGGTGTATAACTTATCTGCTGAACCACATGTATTTCAGAAAATAGGTAGAGCCAAATTGTCGGGCAGACTTCCATCGGTATCAGACGTTCATATCGTTTTATTAAAATGCTAAAATTAGTAAAATGAATATCGACCTGAATGAACAGAATTTTGCTGCATTTGTCAATTTTGAATGTATGCAGTGTTCAATGATTGGCAAAACATGGTTTTATCGCAAACTTCTATATATGTCGCATATACATCCAATTTATTTTTGATGACATGGTCGGTCTTTGTAGTTTTTACTATAAAGTTTTTGATATATTTTTTTTCTAATTTGTTAAACGTTCGAGTTGCAGTTTGTCCTCTTTTCTTTTAGAAATAAAAAACATAGCAACATTTCTGACTATCGTCGGAATATTAAAAATGACTTTATAACTTTTGAGAAAAAGAAATTCGAAAAACATCGTTGCATTTACAGCTTAAAATGAGTATAACCTACCACCGATTTCTATTTCGCACAGCTCTATTTTGGAAATACCATTTACGGGGGATGGTACATAAGTAATATATCTGCAAACAAAATAAACTTCAATATCTTCATTCAAGTGCTCTCCATTGAATATTACTGTTTCACCAGTTATGTAATCGGAAGTATTGGAACAATAGACTCTAAAGGTACCGATGTCGGCCGTTGAATCTACAAACAAGACACACGAGAACATGTAAAATCAGTTGCTTAAGTACGCTTTTTCGCAAATTTGAAATTTCTAGATTTTCATGAAAACTATGCTAAATAATATAAATTATAACAACATGCATATTTTTACAACGTTTGAACAATTTTGGATACTATAGGTTTGTTTAATAACAAAATTCTTTAATCATGCTGTAGAGTCTTAAATTAAGAAAAAATTATCAAAAATAGGACATTTTAAATGTCAAAGCATTATTATATTTATTTTCAATGATTCATTAAGAAATGATCGTCTCTAGAAAAGAACAATATGTCTATTGTAACTTCATGAATAACTGTGTAGTGCTATGTCAACTCTAGGGAGACATGTTTTTTTTCTACATTTAAAAATAACTGAAAAAGTTTTAAAATTGTTTAAGTTGTTTGTTTGTAAATGCATCAGAACTGACTCTACTTACTAGTATTCAGATAGTTTTGAGAGCTATTGCTTAACATTATCAAATGATATTCCAATTAATCCAAAATTCTACTTTTTTCACAATTGTTTAACTGATCAGTAGATATTTGGGTAGAGTGATATGATCAAACATATAAATTGCATCAGTTTAGTAATAATTTTGAATAATTAGTATCGCTCAATCTGACAACACAAATTTAAGAGTAACAATGTTGTGAACGTATCAGTGTTATTTCAAATATTATAATTTACAAACATACAGGAAATGGTAGCCTGACCAACTCTTTTTTACAGTTGTTGTGCTACCTTAAGTAGCCATATTGAAATCTAGTCTTTCACCAAAAGTCAAATAACACAAATGCTTTTGAATTTATTTATCTTTTATCTGTATAGTATACCACAAGACAGGGGCAAAATCCCTGTAACCTTTGAGCTGGTAGACGATTACACCGAGAAGAGAAAAAACAACTTTACTTGGCAATCATACCACATCTTCTTTTTTATATTTACTAGATGATTACATTACACTTATCATTATTTTTGTATTGCCATATATGACACGGAATTTGTATTAGATCGTTCGTTTCATAACAGTCTATGTCAACTGCAGTGTGTATTTAGAGAAAAAAACTTCTGTCCATTATTTCGTGTATTTTTTTCATTTTAATTTTTTATCAAGATGGTTGGGTTTCTTTATGCAGTCAATTACATCTATAAGCTTACCTCGTAAAGCAATATACATCATGGTTATGACACATAAAAAGCCAGTATCAATCTGCAGATAGAAGTAAGATGAAATTAAGCTAATGCAGGAAGTCGTGTTACCATCAATTGATAGACTTGCAGGAAGACTTTCCTCAGATGATCCATGTCTTGCTGTTACATTTAAAGCCAAATTGTCTTGAAATAAAATGAAATATCTTTGGTTTCAATTTTGCCTAATATTAGAAATGGAAAATCAATATAAACGTGGCTTTCATTGGCATTACACCGCAACTCTCAAATAAAAAAAGATGGTAACTTATACAGATAAAAGAGAGACGAAACATACCAAAGGGACATTCAATCTCATAAGTCGAAAATAAACTGACAACGCCATGGCTAAAAAAAGACAAAAAATAAAAAGGCAAACAACAGTACACAAAACACAACATAGAAAACTAAAAACTGAGCAACACGATCTTTTAAAAAACTGGGGGTGATCTCAGGTGGTCCGGAATGGTAACTGTCGTGAATATGGTCCAAGAGACGTCAGAACGATATGTTATGTAATTGTTTCCCGTACCTTTGCGCACACTATTGTAATGTAACGTAACGCTATTGTTACGTATCTAAGCATCTTAGAATCATAAATCATCTCAACTAGCAAGACGTTATTTTCTTTCACATGTCTATCAAAGTTAATAACCCTCAAGATACCGTGACGAAAACGAATAGAGATGAGTTTGAAACTCAAAACAGTCCGAGCAGCACATCGACTAGTAGTAATAAAGCTACTGAAAAAAGGAGAGACCCGGCAGAAGAACCACAACAAAATCCATGATGGGGCTTATCAAAAGCAAAGCAAAAGACATTGTCCGATCTCAATGAGAAGATTAAGAAAATTATTGTAGAAGAAGAAGACCTCGACGAAAAAATTTAGAAGTTGACAGATAAAAGTTGGACATACAGATTGGAATCACGAAAATTGAGAAGTGCATCGAAGAAGTAAGTCTGTCAAAAAATCAATCCGCATTAAACTCTAAAGCACCAGATTTCATATACAATAACCCCAGCATGCAAGAACATTCAAATCCGATAAATTGGAACTCAGAACAAACAAGCGTAAGCCAGTTAGACATGCACACCTTTATGTCGTCAAATCAATACAACAAATTGCCTAAACTCAACGTGCCCACTTTTGGCGGAAATCTACTAGAATGGTCAGCCTGTTAGGATTCATATAAATCTGCCGTACATGAAAATCCTTCATTGAGCGACGTACAAAGATTTAACTATCTGAAATTGTAACTTTACGGAGAAGCAAATTAAAAGTACAAATAATAACAAAGTAATACAAGACCTACATTGGATTATCTCATCGAAACCGTTAAAACAGGTTTGTAAA